CAACAGACAAGGACACAGGGTCAACAGACAAAGACACAGGGTCAACAGACAAGACACAGGGTCAACAGACAAAGACAACAGGGTCAACAGACAAGGACACAGGGTCAACAGACAAAGACACACAGACAGACACAAACAGACAAAGACACAGGGTCAACAGACAAGGACACAGGGAAAAGACACAGGGTCAACAGACAAGGACACAGGGTCAACAGACAAGTCAACAGACAAAGACACAGGTCAACAGTTCAACAGACAAAGACACAGGTCAACAGACAAAGACACAGGGTCAACAGACAAGACACAGGGTCAACAGACAAGACACAGGGTCAAACTCTCCGCCACTATCTCCTCGACCCTTTGAGCAATGACCCTGCAAGCCAAGCCTCCTTTCCTTCACCTTTTTTTTCATTTTTTAATTTCATTCTTTCACTCATTTCATTCATTCACTCATCACTTTCTCTCATTCATATTTGGGGGCAAATATTTGGTCACGCTCACAGGTGGATTATCAAAGCTCACCTCTCCAGAGCCAGCCTTTATATATCATTTTCATTCTTATTATCATGATAATCAGTATCACCTTTTTTATTAGCATTTCAATCATCATATATGTATATATCTATATAATATACAACTACACATTTTTATAATCACGTGAAATGATTCTCTCCCAATCAGCCTGCAAGGAGAAGCGACCATGCAAGAAAGAAAAGGGATATTGCACAAGAAGCAACTGCAAAGGGAAAGAAGTCGAAATACTTAATGGCTGCAAACAAGGGGACTGCCGATGCTGTGCCAAACGTAAGTTGGCGATTTTGAATTCATATAAAGCTGCCATTGCCATATCTCTACCAGAATCACGAAATATCTCAATTCTCACACGCACACATACATATCTATCTATCTAATCTATCTATCTATCTATCTATCTATCTATCTATCTATCTATCTATCTATCTATCTATCTATCTATCTATCTAATCTATCTATCTATCTATCTATCTATCTATCTATCTATCTATCTATCTATCTATCTATCTATCTATCTATCCATCCATCCACCTACCTATCTATGTATACACAATCACGCATATATATCTACCTATCTTTTATATATGTCTTTTAGTGTGTACGTTGGGTTGTGCATGTACCCCCAAAAATCCTGGATCTGACAGGGACACACACACTACATATATCATATATTCACGCACACACACACACACACACACACACACACACACACACACACACACACACACACACACACACACACACACACACACACACACACACACACACACACACACACACACACACACACACACACACACACACACACACACACACACACACACACACACACACACACACACACACACACACACACACACACACACACACACACACACACACACACACACACACACACACACACACACACACACACACACACACACACACACACACACACATACACACACACACACACACACACACACTTTAGAAGTGATCAACCGATTCAGGCATCACTGCCGGAAACCGCCATTTAGTTCCGCAAATACTTGGGAATGAACCGCATCCATGTTGACAAATGTAGAAAATGTATGAATGAGACTGGATATCTTCACAATACAAGAGATGTATTTGACCGGTTTCGATTACGTCTTCATCAGAAATACATGAAAAGAAGACGTAATCGAAACCGGTCAAATGCATCTCTTGTATTGTGAAGATATCCAGTCTCATTCATACCTTTTCTACAAATCTTGGGAATCTTGGGTGGTTCAAGATGAAAACTGCGGGATAGAAGAAACGGTTTGTATAGTTTAGCCTTTGCGAGCTTATTTGTGTGTGTGTGTTGGTCGACTGTGCCTTTTCTTACTTTCTCTTGTTCTTTTTCAGTTCGTGTGTGTGTGTGTGTGTTTTGTATGTGTGTTTTTTGTGTGTGTTTGTGTGTGTGTGTTTGTGTGTGTGTGCACGTGCGTGCTTGCGTATATATATATATATATATATATATATATATATATATATATATATATATATATATATATATAGAGAGAGAGAGAGAGAGAGAGAGAGAGAGAGGGAGAGGGAGGGAGAGAGAGGGAGAGAGGGAGTGAGAGAGAGCGAAAGAAAGTGGGAAAAAATGAAAAAACTTTTTGACTTCCTTATCGCCTCGTTTTACGTTTCATGTTTACCTCTTGTTCTTGTTTTAGAAATTATGAAGTCATTTTCAAGTAGTTCAGCCTTCAGTCCCCTAATTGTCCTTTCAAACATCTTACACATCACACTATAACGAAGCCGCTCTATAATTTAAGAGGGTTTTGACTGTCGCCGCTCTTATAGAAAGAATAATGTTAGTTAATTTCCAGGTTTTTGGTAACTTTCCTAATTTTTCTTCGGATTTTGGAATATTTATAGTGAGGACATACACAGTTGTTTGTTTATTCCCCCAAGAACCCAGCGAGAGATTTCATCTGGTCTCTCGGCTTCCGTC